AAGATTTAGGTAAAAATAAAAAATAGACAAGTCAAGATAAAAATGAGAGTGAAGAATACAATTAGAAATAAAATTAGAAAAAACGTGACTAGCGCAAGATTTTGTTAAAGGATTAGTGTTTAGAAGCACAAGGTTTGCTATCTATTTTTTGGGATTATACCGCATAAAAGAATTCTTCAAGAGTCATTGTCTGAGAAAGTTGATCATGGTGATAGTGTCAGACTGAGTGGGAATATTTCTCATAGCTAGTAGAAAACAGTTTTTTAAATTCGGCTTTGCCTTATATTTTGAATACTTTCACTGCACTCTCAGAGATTGTAAGATGCGCGTAAGGCAAACTTCGAATCTTTTTTTTCCTTTGACTGCTTTATACACCACTCGATAGACAATCGAACGGAGATCACGAATATGTGGTACGGAGATTTTACAGACTGTTTTGTGGTCGAAAAATCAAGAAAACTCGAGATGCCTCGAAAACCGGAAAAACACCCGTTTTTACAGCGAAAAAACGCTGCAGTTTCATCACAGCACGTTGTGGAGCTCTGCGTTAGCATATTCAGATTCAGAATTGATAACTGAATCTAGTCATATGCTTTTCAAAGCTTCAGAGCCAAAACTCTATTTTTGGCTGAATCAAAAATCGGGGCGTGTCGCCCATCACATCCGATTTTTATGAACCTATCTCCTCCTACAGTTCGATAGATAGAGCCCTAAATCACACATGGTTAGATGCGCCAGACACTCCTCTACAACATAGTGAAGAGCTTTTCCCGAAAAGTTTTGCGTTCAAAAGTTATGCGGCATTTACGAAGAAGAAAAATAAATTCGAAGTTTGCCTTATGCGCATCTTAGCATTTCTGATTGCAATAACATCCGGAAAATTGAAATTTATGGAATTCAAAACAGTTTTTGATTTTGTATAAGAAAATATGACCAAAAATGTTGCTAAATGTTCTTAGAACTACTATTTTCTTAAGTATTTAGTTTTTTTAAAGAGCCATGTACTATTGTCTGTGCAGGAATTTTGTGTCGATTTTGTTCACATTCTACTAGGTCATGAAACATTTAATTAAACCTATTCTTCTAAAACAAATAATACCGCCTTCTCGCATATCTAGAAAAAATCCGTATGGCAGGGATGGCTATGGTCTAATAATTAATGACGATGGTAATGTTATAGAACATAGTGGTGAATGTATGGTTTTGAAATATGTTTTAAACGTTTAGTGAAAGAACAGATTAATATTATTCTATTTTCAGATATATTTGAATGTCCAGTTGGCGATTATGCCGACTATATACAAAGTATATTAACTACAGCTGAAGACGGTGAATTTGATGCGAAGAGACATCGGCAACGATTTAATACAACGTTGAAAACAAAGAAAAGATTTAAAAATAAGTTTTTATGATAAATACACATCACACACTGCTTTCTCTATGTTCACAAGTGATTTCTTCGAATTTTTTCTTCGAAATTTTGCAACAGAGATGATCCCGAATAAATCGACGCCGTTTTAAAAAGCACATTCATAAGTCGAAAAAGCAACTTTTTTGTTTAGAGTTAGCATAAAAATACATAAATGCTTCTGGCCGAAGTATAGACGTGTCACACAGAGATCACCGTTCTGCGAAAATTTCAATAAAATCGAACTTACGGAAAATTTAGGAAACTCACTTTACTGAAGAAAATGTTTCGGAAAACGCTCAGCGTAGGTTAAAAGTTGGATATGTCCGACGGAAAACACTTGAAACAAAATAACTTTTACGAATCGATAGAGCAAGAGCTGCTCTTTCCGAATATGCGAAATCTCTGTGCATATTTCTTCTCCCGTTCTGTGCTACATGCTCCTTTTACCTGAGATCGCTGAAAACTAGAGAATTTTTAAAAATAGGCTGTCTCAGCGAACCTTAATTTAATTTCTATCTATAGAAATTCTTTCGCTAGTAAATCAAGCCTTAGTCACAGTTTATATGACGCCCTTAAATCATGCAAAAACTCACTTTTGTTTTTCCACCTAATGTCCACGTGCTTGCCCACTGTGCGTCTGCTTAAAAGCCCAGTTTACCATAAGTTCATTATGAAAGTCAAAACCATGGCAGACTGATATAGCCATCGGAAGCAGCATGTCTGAAAACCTCCAGAATCTCAGATTCAGTCTGAAATCTTCACTTCAGCAGGCTGTATGCTCATTTTTCTTGTATTGGACAGACGCTCTTACTCTTGCACAGATAAATCTTGTGCACAAACATATTGTTTCTCAAAATACACAATCGATAGTAGATAAGTCTGTCAAAATTGGAGAATGGAAAAAATTGTCAAAAATAGTTTGGAACTCGCCACTCCAGCTCATTCCGCATTTCCCCATCATATCACAGCAGGAATCCCCATTATCAAGTTCTCTAAACGCGTTTACTAGTATCATTAGTGGCAAATATGATTTTGTTTTGATCCACATTCCTAAACGGCTATTGTTTTTGACAATTTGAACAAACGTGTTAACCATAACAGTTTGGAAAAGGAATATAATCACATGTTTTGATGTATGAAGACGAACAGCTTCATACCTTAATACATTCGCTGGCTGTACATGCGAGAATTTCTGCTAAGTTCATGAATAAGACTCAGATGTTGATTGCACTCATCTCGCCTAAGTGTAGACAGAATTGAAAATGTATTTATTTCATCCAAATGACGACTAGCTGACTAATATTATATTATTAAAAGAAAAAATGTACGTATTATTAGAAAAATACTATGATAAAAGAAATTGCAACATTTCATTTCAATTGCAATAATCACCGCAGGTAAAGGACTCGATTTTCCAAAATTGTCCTGAGTACGGACCCCATTCTGTCATGGTGAGATCACTGGATGATGAAGCCGTGCCAGTATTGACAATGTCTACCCACATTTGCCCATCATTCAATTTATTTGTGAGACGATACGTGTATGTGTCATCGGTGGATTTCAACAATTTCCAATATTGACCTGCTTCATCGGATGTCGGTGCAAATTCAATAGTGAGACTTGATGGCATGTACGTAAGCGATTTGCCTTCGCCTTTGTATTTGTTTGTCAATCGATAATAGTCGTCTCCAAGTGATGTGATATACCAACATTGTTTTGAGTAGTCACGTGTAAATACCATTGTCGCTTTGTTCGAATAAGCAGCAATATCCAAGGCTTTCTCACGATCTTGAAAGCTATTTGTCAGTCGATAGCACGTAGTACCATCAAATTCAGCTAAACAAAATAATTCTAACTATCAATTTTTACTGAAAATATGTCGTGTATGTAACTTTACCTGCATAACAAGCAGTAATAGCCAACAATAAAATTGCTATTGTGTACATGGCAGTTTAGTAGTTTAAAGAAAGAGAAAGCGATGTATATAATCGAATAAATGTTGCTTATAGTCTGATTTGGAAAATTAATCTTCTTTTATAGATACGAAGAATTTAAAAGTAACAAATGAAATATTTTGGACAAGAACAGACGCATGTATTATCTGTTTACTGCTATCGACGATATTTGAGAGAAAAATGGACAGATTTTTCTTAAAAGATACAGAAAAGAACAAAAGATTCACTCGACTGCTCTATATCACACAAAAAAACGAATAAGTATGGTGATGTCGACGCATAAGATAAATGAATGAAAAAGGTCCAAATGGCCTAAAATATCTATATACGGAATTTTGTGCTAACAATGGTTCCATAGAAAGAGCTAAACATTTTTACTTGTCAGACGGACAACTGAAAATGTATTCTGCTACGAAAAGTAGATTTAACATCAAAATTCGACGAAAACGTCATTGGATTGAAACAATTTAGTTGTGAAGATGCTGCAGGTGTTTTTTACCCATTTCTGATCATTGTATTCTTAAT